TGGCGCACCTCCTAGGAAGAGACGGAAACACGGGCAGATATGCGGGCAATGGAAGGGACACGCGCGCCATCGACACCATCAGATGAGGGAGCTGTAAAGTCTGCCTTGTGTCCTCACTCTTGCCTACTTTTTTCTTGGCCTCAGTCTTGCTGTTCCAGTAGTTTCCTTACCAAACATGCATGATTTTATATTCTTTGGTAGCATGTTTGCAGATCTTTACTGTGAAGACAGTATCTGCTCAAGTACTGTGGTCTCTTTGTTTTACTGAATGTTGTTATTACCTAATCCCTCATACCTAGTGTCAGGTCTGTCTACCTAATATTGATATAAGATGACATTTTATCTTTAGCTGTGACGTAACCAATCCTAATACCTAGCATAGTGTGTGGGCTATAGCATAGCTTTGTGTGTGGACGCTATCATTATTAATGATAATTTTATATTATATTAGATGTAGTATACTTATATATAAAATTTTATGTTTCATTCATTCAAATTAATGTTGGTAGGTATAAAGCGGCGTCTGACATTACACCTTCAGTGTTTGAAAAAGCAAACATAAAACAGAGCTGTGAGAACTAAAGGATAATGTACACATCTTTCAGTCTATCCCGTACCCCACATTCTCAGCGCTATTGCCTCCTTTTATCTTTTTCCTCATCTGGATGGCTTCTGTCGCCTTCCATTTATGTCCATTGCTCTGGTCTTGCTCCTTTCAGCCAACATGGCTGGTAGAGAAACGTTTATACCATTAAATTTGATCATGTTACTACCCTCTTTAAAGCCTTTAGATAATAGTTCTCAAACTTTAGTGCATAAAGTCATCTGAGGTACTCATTAGACAGATCCTGGTACATTCCCAGAGACACTGATTCAGGTTTGGTATCCGACCCAGAAAGCTGTACTTAACCGGCACTCCTGGTGATTCTAAGAAAAGTCATGCTTTAGTGGCTCCTAAACCTGCAGGATGAAATTCAAAAGTCTCAGTGTGGCCCTTCATACGTTCAGTGACCATCCCTTGCATCCTTCGTCTTGGTCCCTGTGGTTTCATCAGCATCCATCCTCTGATGTTTCTGTATTTGTCTCTGCCGACATGCTGCTATCCGTCTGCCAGAAGTGCCCTTCCATAGCTCAAGTTCAGCCTTCTGTGAGGATCTCCATGGTCCCCCGAGGTGGAGTTGGCACTTTCTCCAGTGTCCCTTTCTTGAACCTTGCACTCTCCTTTCATTTACAGCGTCATTCATACTGCATGGTAATAGCTTGTTTGCATGCCGTTACCTGTTAGTTTTGAGTTCCTTGAGTGTAAAACTGTTTCTTATTCACCTTTGTATCCTTGCACAGACACCGGGCGTAATGGGTATTAGATGAATGGGGAATGAGTGAATTAAACACAGGAATGAAGTTCAGAAAGTCTTGATTATTTTTTACTTTATATTTCCCACTGTGAAGTACGAATTTATTTCATTATTTATGCACCTTAGGTTGCTTAACTCTTGTACAGAAATATTTAAAGCAGAAGGTTATACGAAGGAGGTAGTGATAGGATCTGCTTGAAAAATTCTGTGAGTGATTTTTGGTAGAGGAGCCGCTTGAGAGACCTCTTGAAGGATGAGTATGACTTGAGTGCATGTATGACTTGAGTGGCAGTAGGGAGACTCAGGAAGGAGCATGATCCTGGCGTAAGCATGTGCAGAGGGACAGATGTCTGAGATGTAGGGTTCTGGAAAGTTCAAGTGGTTTGATTTGTCAGTAGAAGTTATAGAGGTGTGGTTAGAGATAAATTGGAGGGATGAACAGCAATATATCCTGGAGGATGTTTTGTGTTTTGCAGAAAAGGTCTGGATTTTATTCTCAGGTTATGAAATCTGTTGAAGCCTTTTAAGCTAGAAAGAAACATGGTCAGGTGGGACGAGAATTGAGACAGAGGAGAGATCAGTTAAGGAGATTAGTTATAATTTTATGAAAAAAGAGTTGGTTAGCAATTTAAAATAATTGTATAAACTTGTTTTTTAAAGCTAGTCAAGTGAAGCATGGAGTGGAGAAGGAACAAAGAATCTGTAACTGGCTGTAATCAATTGGTTGTAAACACTACTGTTCTTGGATCAGCCAATTTTATAAAATTTCTGTAATGTTCTTTGTTCTTTCTGTTGGGTACTCTGATAGCTTTAAGTTTGCACAATATGAGTAAGATGTAATTTGGCCCTGGTTTTGAAATAGTCCTGTAGAGTATAGGAAAATATAAATATCTGAAACAACTAATTATATAAATATGTTGAAGGTGTACAAGCATGTGATACATGGTAGACGTAAATGATATGGGAGCTGGATTGAGGATTAACTTTCCTCGGAAGAATTAGCCTCTCTTCCAGCACCAGCTTTACTGAGGGAGAGTTGCCAGATCAAAATTATGTATATTCAGGGTGCACAAACTGTAATGGGCTTTGAATGTTGTGCTGACAGTTTCCTTTTTTTTTTAGAGCTTTATTTTCTAAGTATGAATATAATACATGTTGACTATATATAATTTAAGAAATATCTAGAAATGCAAACAAAATGTTCTGTAATCCCATCACAAAAATGCAGTTACTGTTAAACATTTTCATGTCTTTCTTTCCAATCTTTATTGCCACGTTCACATGTGTACTTAAGCATTAAATAAATGAAATTGGAACCATACCTGGAATGTGTGTGTGTGTGTGTGTGTGTGTGTATGTGTGTGTGTGTGTGTGTGTGTGTGTGAGCATACAAGCATATGTGTTTTTGTGCACACACCCGGACATGTGTATATCATTTTATCTTACCTAAAATTGGAACATGGACATTTTGCTATGTGGTTAAATTGTGCCCAGAAAGCATGATTCATAATGACTGCAATATTTATTCTATTTTATGGGTGTGTTCAAAGTTTTTACTGGTTTCCTTATTGTTAAATATTTAGGTTGTTTCTGATTTAAAAGAATGAATACTATTTCATTGAACATCTTTGAACCTAAATTCTTGTCTGTATTTCTGATTATTTAAGATGGGATTCTGGAAATAAATACATTGGGTCAAACAATATTTTGCCAAATTGCTATTCCAAAACTATTTATTTATTTATTTAATTTATTTTTTTGAGTTGGCGTCTCACTGTGTCACCCAGACTGGAGTGCAGTGGCCGCTCCCGGCCTCCGCAGCCTCGACCTGCTGGGCTCCGGCGATCCTTCCGCCTCAGCCTTTCGACTAGCAGGAATTACAGGCACGCACTACCATGCCTGGCTGATTTTTTAATTTGTTGTAGAGATGAGATCTCGCCAAGTTGCCCAGGCAGATCTCGAGCCCGCAGGCTCAGGCAATCCACTCACCTCAGCCTCCCAAAGTGCGGGATTATAGGCTGAACCACCGAGCCTGGCTCTAAAACTGTTTAAATTCAGGCCTGCGGTGTGTGGATTTGACTTCCACTATACTGTTTTTGTGTTTATTGTTAGCAAATTTTATAAATGGCATCTTGTGGTTATTTTAACTGTTACTTTCTTAACAGCTAATTTGTGCAGATTTCCCCTATATTTATTCACTATTTATGTTCTTTGACTATTGCCATTTTTAAAAATTTGGGTTTAGTATTTTTTAATTGAATTTTAGAATATGTAAATAGATTGCCATTGTTAATCAGTCTTATTTCTGGCACATTTTATTCCTGTTTCTTACTTGCCATTTAACATTTTTTTTTACGGTAGTGAATTTTTCATTTAGGTATTCTTAGACATTTTTTTCTCATCTCAAGATCACATATTCACCTGAATTTAGTGTTTCAGAATTTTGTATTTTCTATTTTTAAAAATAATCTGTGATAATGAAAGTTTTTTAGTAGAAGAGTGACATGACTAGATTTGTGCCTCAGAAAGATGTCTGTGGCTCTGAGGAGGTCATGCACATTGGAGTAAGAGGAGCCTAGGGATAGTGAAGCCTGTCTCGAGGAGCGAAGAGAAGGGTCTGATTTTCTGTGGTGACAGTAGGCCGGAAAGGAAGATAAACGAGTCCCAACTGGTGAATCAGGAGGCACAGCAGGTCTGTGAGAGGGTGGAGATGAGGGCCTGTGAAACACGAGACACCTCAGGACACTGGGTTATGAGCCAGTGGAAGCACAGGGTTGAAACGCCTTTGGAGGCTGGTCTGGCTGATGACGGAAATCAGGAAGCCATCTCCATGGAGGTGATAGTCCCAGGGTGGGAGGATGCGTGAGTTATCAGGGCCGCTGACTGAGCGAGAGGGATGGTCAGAATTAGACGGCTTGCTAGGAGGTATTCTCCAGGATCCTGGCGAGGTGGCTTGTTATTTTTCTTCAAATTTTTTCTCTCCCTCCCCATCTCCCTCAGCAAAAACAACATCAGTTACTGCAAAGAGTTTAAGGATGGGAGGGACTGAACAGTTTCCATTGGATTAGTCTACTACTTTCAGTAAATGTGGCTAGAAGGGGAGAGAAATAGAAGAGGGGCATGGTCAAAGGATAGCACTTTTTTTTAGGATCTGGCTTGAATATGTTCTCTCTGTTGAGGGAAAGGGATTTTGGAAAAGGGAGGAAGTGAAGGTAAACTAGATAAAGGAGGGATTTGATGGTGCGGCAACTTAGAAGGATCGGTAGCCATGATAAATGGATTATTCTTTCAGGTGGAACAGTAGTTCATTCTCAGAGACAGGATTTGTTTGTAAGTTATTGAAATTAATTTTAATCTGTTATAAGAGTAATCTGTTATATGGCTCCCTGCTTCAATAGTAAGCTCCTTTTTCATTGGTTATTTAATTGATTGACAATTTTATCATTGTTTCAGCATAAAGTTCTTCTAACTCATGTCTTTTACCTGCTGCTCATGGGCAGTTAGCGTGTTACTTTTACCGATACAGGCCCCTAAACAGATAGCTTAATAAGCATGTTAATTTCTCTGATTATTTATTGTTCATTAATGAATGTATAAAATTAAATGCTTTTAATTATAACTATCTTTAAAAAATATTTATTGCAGGGGAATTTACCTAAATATTCTCATAACTCTCTGATGGTTCAAGCAATAAAGACAAACCTAACAGACCCGGACATACATGTGCTTTTCTTTGATGTGGAAGCACTGATTATTCAACTCCTGACTGAAGAAGCCTCTAGGCCGAATACGGCACTTATTTCCCCAGAGAATTTGCAAAAAGCATCTGGCAGTTCAGACAAAGGGAGCTCTTTTCTAACTGGCAAACGAGCAGCCGTTCTCTTCCAACAAGTGAAAGAGACCATCAAAGAGAACATAAAGGAACACCTTCTTGATGACGAAGAGGAGGATGAGGAGACGATGAGGCAGAGGAGGGAAGAAGGTGACCCTGAGTATCGGGCCAGCAAATCGAAACCCTTGACTCTCTTAGAATATAATTTAACTATGGACACTGCAAAGTTGTTTATGTCCTGCCTTCATGCCTGGGGTTTGAATGAAGTCCTGGATGAAGTTTGTCTTGATCGCCTTGGAATGCTGAAACCCCATTGCACCGTGTCATTTGGTCTGTTGTCGAGAGGCGGCCATATGTCACTGATGCTTCCTGGTTATAATCAGCCTACTTGTAAGCTGTCACATGGGAGAACAGAAGCAGGAGGGAAGCTGCCAGCAACTGAGGGAGTAGGAAAGGGAACTTACGGAGTGTCCCGAGCCGTCACCACACAGCATCTTCTGTCTATCATTTCTTTGGCAAATACTCTAATGAGTATGACCAATGCAACTTTTATTGGTGATCATATGAAGAAGGGCCCTACCAGGTGTGACCATGATAGTTTGATTTTATTCTTGTTTCAAAAAAAGAAACCTATTTTTTTTTTGTCATTTCTTCATTTATTTTGTCACTGTTTCTTGACTTCATACACCTTTAGCGCTTTAGTGTCATCTTGGTGTTTCCCCTTTAAGTTTTAAAACACAGGTCTCCAAAATGCATGGTTTAAAAGATAATAAAATTATATAATCTTGTATATATATACATTGACGTACTTAGTAGCTATTTAAAAAGACTTTGAGAAGGTGAGGATGGGGACAAAGAAAAGAGTTTGGAATATATGTTGGTCATTTAGACTAGCTCTTGAGTAAACATAATAATAAAATTGTATCTACTGAAAGTTTGCTTAGCATTCAGTTCAAAGTATATGTTTGGTTAAAATCCTTCTTCTCAATGTCATATTTATGTAATGAATAATATGTGTTCGGTAATTTGGGTTCAGAAATTTGTGAGAAGTAGAGTCATTATTTTTCAATAGAGAAAGAAATTTTTTTAAATGCAAGAGAATACTGTTTTAATATTTCTAGACTACAGGACTGAATCATGATTTTCTGTTTTCTCAAAGTTATAAGACAACTTTTTATTATACTCTACTGAGAGTTGATCATATCGAGAATTTAAAAGAAATCCAACAAGTACTTATGTAGCATTCACTTTGTGCTGGTTTCTGATAACAAACACTTTATGAAAACTAACTCATTAGTCCTCTTAACCCCATTAGGTAGATGCCTTAATTATTCCTTTATTACAGATATGAGCATTGAGGCACAGAGAGGTAAAGTAACTTGCCCAAGGTCACATGGCTAGTAAGTGGTAGAGCTAGAATTAAAAACAGAGACAGTCTGCCTCTAGGGTCCAATATTTCTTGATATTTCATTACCTATTTCCAGTTTTAGGGCCAAATACTTTAAAACTCAGTAAATGTTTCTATAAATTCATTTGAACCAATGCTGTGGGGTAGACAGAAATCTCACCCTGCTAACATTGAAGAATGGAGGACTAAGTACGGTATTTATCTTTCAATGGTAGTACATTGAAGTGTTCATAAATATTTGTTAAACTAATATAAAGCATAAATTGTAAATATAAAATTCTTACTGGCTTCTTGCTAATCATTTACTTATTTTACCATGTTAAAATTGGAAATGGAAAATGTTAATAGGTACAAAACAAAAAAAAAATCCATCTTTTTGGAAGGGTAAATTGAAAATGTTTTTTCTGTTTCTGTTGTGATTCACTTGGATAGAAAATGTAACATTTTAAATAGGTCTGGAAATCTGACAATGTGAAAATATATATACATGCATTTTTTTTTTCTTCTTTTTAAAGGCCACCTAGACCAAGCACCCCAGACCTTTCTAAGGCAAGGGTTTCCCCTCCAACTTCCAGTAATGTTGTGCAAGGACAGATTAAACAAGGTAAAATTAAATCCTTTTAAGTAATTGACATGACATTTCAGCTCTAGAAACTGAGGAGGCATAGCTAATGTATAATCATAACATTTGTTTGTCTCAGATAGTTAAAAGAGGGAAAAGTTGTTATATTCCAGATGTAAATATGGCTAATTAAGATGTCAGTTAAAAATAAATCAGATTTATTTAGAAATTGATAAATGAGCATATTTCGTATAATTTTATTGTACTGTCTTTGGTCTAATTTTTATGCATTAGGGGCACCTTAACTTGACAACACTAGAATTTTGATTGTGTGTACCTTTAGTTTAAAAGTTATACCTATTTTAAACTACATTTAGAAATGTTTAAATTCATAGTTCTGTATTATAGGTCATCTCCTACCATTTCCCAGTAATTATGCATTGTGATTCAGAAGTGAAAATTCTTGTCGAACTATTCTTTTCATCTTCTCTATTTATTTATTTATTTATTTATTGAGTTGGAGTCTCACTCTGTCACCCAGACTGAAGTGCAGCGGCCTCGACCTTCTGGACTCTGGAGATCCTTCCGCCTCAACCTTCCAAGTAGCTGGAACTACAGGCGTGTGCTACCACGCCTGACTAATTTTTTATTTATAGTAGAGATGAGGTCTTGCCAAGTTGCCCAGGCGGGTCTCGAACCGAACCCACGGGCTCAGGCAATCCACTCACTTCAGCCTCCCAAAGCGCAGGACTACAGGCTGAGCCACTGAGCCTGGCATCTTCTCTTTTTAAATTGAATCATTATATACCTTAATTTTCATCTATAGCTTTGTTTTTCATGAGGGGAGAAAAGAAAGGTTGAGTTTATCTCTATCTTCCTTTCTTTCTTTATTAATTTTTCTTATATATTTCTGAATATAATTAATATACTCAGATATTTTTGAGTACTGCATATCTCTTCTACTCCTATTAAGACTGATAAATGAACTAATCAAGAGAATTGAGCAGTCACATCTGCTGAGAGAACTTTCCTTTAGGTCAAGAGTTAGGGCTGCCTCTCACAGAATGTAATAAAGAGAAGCAAAGAAACAAGAAGTAAAGAAGATGAGTTGGAAGGTTCTGCTGCTTATAAATGGTGACATCTTGGAGCTTTCCTTTCCTCCTTAGGTTTTTTTTTGTTGTTGTTTTTAAAGTTTGCATGCTTCAAGGAGTAGTTCTACAAGGTTTGTCGAGAAACAATAGGCCCTAACTTCATACTTACAATTTCCTCCATTTCCTAGGACAAGTACTTTTCTCTGTCTTAGATGATTGCTTAGCACTTACTTTAACACCCTAAAATGGAATGCCTCGTTTTCAGTATTAGGCAGTGTCCGTCGGTTCTCATTATGGAAGAGATGCTCCCACACTCTCTGTGCCGTTCCCGGCCTTCCTTTCCAACCCTACATAGTCACCCTGTCCTCTAATTAAAGTTATATGATCATTATGTAATAACTCATATATTTAACTATGTGAAAGTTCTGTAATTGTTTTGGCAAGATAACTTTTCATACTTGTGTCTGTGACATACAATATGCGTATAAAAAGTGCGTCAAGCAGGACTGTACAGTGATTTTTACGAGCTGAGCACTCATGTAGCTGCAGCCTTGGAGGATCTCTTAGAGCATTGCCAGCACGTCAGCAGCATCCTGCATCTTCCCTCCCACTCGCCAGACCTTCCCCTCCCAGAAGTAACTGCTATCTTGACTTTTGTAAAGCCACTTCTTTGCCTTCTTGTATAGTTGTACCCCCTGAGTTTAAATTCCTAAACACTTCAGTTGGTTTTGCCTGTCCTTTGAGTTTTATATAAATCCCGTCCTTTATACAGTATGTGTTTGTTTGTGTTTGGCTTCTTTTGTGAGGTTATCAGTGTTCCTGCATTTGACTATAGTTCGTTCATTTTTGTTGCTGTGCACGTGTTCTGTTGAATAAATAGATAGCAATTTATTCATTCCTTTTTTTGTTAACAGACATTTGAATTATGTCCAGTGTTTGGTTTTCATGAGTGAGTTTTCTATGAACATTCTTGTATTTCAGTGCTAGTGTACATTATAAGCATTTCTGTTTTATACATACTAAATGTCGAATTTCTGGATACATGTATCTTCAGCTTTAGTAAATAATGTTAAAATGTTTTCCCAAGTGTGAAACTGACTTACATTCACCAAAATAGCTAAGGTGAAAAAGAAAATATTAAGTGTTGTTTAGGAAATACAGCAACAAGAACTCTTATATATATAACTGGTGAGGTGTCCTAGCCAGCACTCAATATTTTCCATCTTTTTTGGTTTAGCCATTTTTATGTGTGTGGTTTCGCTCATGTATTTAATTTGCATTCTCTAATTACTGGTGAGTGTGAACACCTTTTTGTATGTTTATTATTCACTTCTATATCTTCTTTTGTGAATTATTTGCTCAATTCTTGCATGTTTTTCTATTAGGTTTTTTTTTTTTTTTTTTGAGTTGCAGTCTCACTCTGTCGCCCTGGCTGGAGTGCAGTGGCACACTCCCAGCCACTGCAGCCTCGACCTGCTGGGCTCTGGCAATCCTTCTGCCTCGGCCTTCCAAGTAACTGGAACTATAGGCACGCACTACTATACCTGGCTAATTTTTGATTTATTGTAGAGAAGAAGTCTCGTCAAGTTGCCCAGGCGGGTCTTGAACCCATGGGCTCAGGCAATCCACTAGACTCGGCCTCCCAAAGTGCTGGGATTACAGGCTGAGCCACCGAGCCCGGCTATTAGGTTTTTAAAAATTAATTTATAGGTATCCATGACTATTCTTGATATATGCTTTTGTTATATATATTGCAAATATTTAATTTCCTTTTACTCTTGTCTTTGATATTTAGCATTTCTTAATTTCAATGGAATCCAATATATCAATATTTTCATTAAAGATTAATATTTTTGTGTCCTGTTTAAGAAGTTTCTTCTACCCCAATATCGCATATCTTTATATCTGTGTGTGTGTGTTTTGTCTAGAAGCTTTGTTGTTTTACCCTTCTCATTTAGATCTACAATCTGCCTGTAATTGAATATTGTGCATAATGTGAAGCAGGAATCCTTTTTCATTTTTCTCCCATACAATGCCAATGTGATCCAGTGTTATTAGTAAGGAAGATAATTTCCCCATTGCTTTTCAGTACCACTTTTGTCATAAATAAATGTACTTTATGAAGGTCTGTTTCTGGGCTGTTTGAGTCCATTGATTGGTTTGTCTTGCCTTGTATCTTAATTACTATAGCTCTATAATAAGACTTGATATTCAGTAGATGAAATCTTCCTGCCTTGTTCTTAAAATGTATCTTGGCTATTCTTGTTCCTTTGAATTTCAGTATAAATTTTGGAATCAGTTTCTCAGTTGGCACAAAAACCTGTTGTGATTTCAAGAGCAGTTGTTTTGAACTGGTAGATCAATTTGGAGAGAATATCTCTTTGGAATTCATGCATTCAATACATCAACAAGATATAGCTCTACGTTTATTTAGGTCCCTTTATCATAACTCTTATAGTTTTATGTATAGAGAGGTCTTATATGTCTTTTAGATAGATTTATTCCTAGATATTAGATTTTTAAAATATTCTTAAAAAGGTAAAATTAAAATATTTTTACAATGATTTTATTTGAACTGTTTTTCATTTCCTGTGTTCCTGGTATAGAAGTGCAGTTGATTTTCGTATAGTCACATTATATCAAACAAACTTGCTGAATCTACCTATTAGTTGTAATAATTTATCTGGCAATTCTTTTGATCATAGGGACAATCATATGGGATAACCTTTTCTAATACTAGTCTCAAAGAGAAAACTTTTAACCTTTTGTAATTATGATGTTTCCTATAGGCTTTTGTACATAGTTTAAAAGAAATTAACTACCTCTTCTTTCTTCTTTTCTAAGGATTGATCATCAGAGTATGTTGGATTTTGTGTCATACTTTTTAAAATGCCTATTATGATAATTGATAACTTTTGTTTTTCCTCTGTTAACGTGGTAAATTTAGAATGTAAGCTTAACCTTGCATTCCAGAATAAAGCAAACTTGTTGTGATATATTGTCTTATGTGTTGTTGTGTTTGATTTAATTTTTTTTATTTCAGCAAAAGATTTTATTTCTTTTAATGCCCTTAGAAGTTTTTAGATTATTCAGATTTCAAAAAATACATTGGGAATTGTTTCCTTTTTTTGCTTTTTTCAGGAAGAGTTTGTGTAAGATTGACACACTTTCTTTCATAAATGTAGTGGAATTTGCTGGGTTTAGATCTACAGTTTTCTTTGTAGGGAGTTTTTAATTCTGGGTTCAATTTCTCTCATTGTTAATTTGACTTTTCAGATTTTTTTCTTCTCGTGTCAGATTTGTTAGGTAGTATATGTTTAGGAATTTTTTTAGTTCTAAATTTTCACGTGTTTTGGCTTTTGAGATGATAATGTTGTCTTATCTTTCAATCTCTCTTGTGTCTGTATTGATGACCTCATTTTTATTCCTGATTTTAAAAAATTTGTGTCTTCTCTTTTTTTCTCTTTATTGGTCTTACCAGAAGTTTATCAATCTTATTATTATTATTATTATTTTAATGAACCCACTGTGGCTTTTAAAAAATCCTTTCTGGTACATAGTTTTTCCCATTTCATTAAGTTATTTTTACTTAATTTTCTTACTTTTTTTTAATTCAATATGCTGAGTTTATTTTGACCTCTTAAGATGGATGGTCACGTACTAATCTTCCACTCCTCTTTGTGTGTATGTCAAAAATCATGTCATCTGTGAATAGAGATAATTATACTTCTTTTCAGTGGGTATGCATCTTATTTTATTTTATTTTTCTTGCCTTATTATGTCTGTTAGGACTTCAAGAATGATATTGAATTGAAAAAGTTAGAGCAGACATTCTTGATTCATTCCCAATCTGAGGGGTAAAGCATTTAATCTTTTATTATTTAAAATATAGTTTTAGCTGCAAGTTTTTCTCAGATGCTCTTTATCAAGTTGAGGAAGTTCCCTTCTATT